GGGCTGATTGTTTCAGATGCCGTCTCGCTGTGTGCACTCCTTATTCTGGAGCTCTAAGCCCCCTTCCTGTGACTCCTGGGTGCTGAGATCAAACCTCAGCACCACCATGCCCGTCCTCAGGGCAAGTTCTGGATACTCGAGAGGAAAAGGCTAAAATGTTAGAGTGGTTCTAGATTTAGAAAAGGCCAACCAGGAGACATTGGAAGTATCAGAATACAACAAACTGTTACTTGGGGGAAGAAACGAAGCACCTCAGTTTTCAATATTAAACTAGCTGTGGCTGGACACAGTGGTGCACACCATTGATCCCAGCGCTCAGGAGGCAGAGCAGGCAAATCTGAGTTTGAGGCCAGGCTGGTCTGCCTGGGAAGGCCAGAGTCAGCCTGGGCTACTTGGTGAGACCCTGTCTCACACGGACAAACTTGGAATATGATGTATACAATATATATATATATATATATATATATATATATATATATATATATATGTTTTTTTTTTAACCTTTGTAACCAAATTATTTTGTTGTTCTTTGAGACAGGCTCTCACTCTCTAGTCTAGATTGGCTTCCTGTCTCCTAATTGCTGGGATTATAATTGTGGCAGCGTAATTAAAGATCACAGGTATAAGATTGCTTTTCGTGACCTCACTGTCCTGCAGCAGAGGGTATTGCCTGTGTTTTCTACTGGACCTAACAAGAAATGTGTAGTGATCTTTCCTCTGGAGGAAACAGATGGACAGAACCTCCGATGTTTCAGGGCTTTCCTGTTGTCATAGAGCTAGTGGATCAGGAACTTCACGTCTCGGTGTTAAGTGTGGCGTGATCATGCACACCTGGAATCTAGCAGTCCATTGGCTGAGATTGCAAATTTGTTTTGTACATTTGTTTTGGTTTGAGACAAAGTTTGACTGTGTAGCAACTGTCAGATGGGGTTCTAAAAGTAAATTTGGGAGCTCAATGGCAGTGCTTTTGCCTCGCACACTCTAGGTTTCATTCCGTGAATGTGCACATCTTGTAGGAGTAAACTGAGTGCATATTAAAACTTGCATGAGAGAAGCTGGATGCAATCCGGGTGTGGTGATGCCGTCTCTAATCCCATTAATCTCTGTGAGTTCAAGGCCAGCCAAGTCTACACAGAGAAACCCTGTATCAAACAAAACAAACAAAAACCCAAAAGTTGTGTGTATGGAGGTGCACACTTGTAACTTCAGCACTTGGGAGGCTAAGGCCCAAGTCCAAAGCCAGCCTGGGCTATGGTGTGATACTGCCTCAGAAAAGAAAAGGCTGCAAGTAGTACTTCTGAATCCCAGCATTTGGGGGAGGGGAGGTGGAGGCAGGAGGATTGCTCCTTCAAAGCCATCCATAGCTTGCTTAGCAAGTTCAAGATCAGCTTTGGGTACAGGAAACCCTGTTTCATCAAAAAAGAAAACAGATGGTTTCAATTGGGTGGAGGAGAGCCAATGGGAAGATGAGCAAGGTTTGGGACATGCCTCTGTGGTAGAGCACTCGCCTGCCATGTAGGAGATCCAGTGTTAAAGCTAAGAAGCTGTACTCTGGATTCCTGCCCTGCTCAGCACATTTGAAATATTCCTAAAGTGAACTTTGTTTGCAGTAAGTACTCACAGTTGCGCTGTGTGTCTGGAAAATGAGTAAGTCTGTCTTTTTAAGCCTGTAAGCAGACTGGTGAGGCAGGAGCCAAAGCTTTCTGTGATGTCTTTGTTAAAAGATGACAGCAGGTGGTGCTTGGTGGCTTCCAGCTCTTAGGAGGCTGTGAGTTCAAGACTAGCCTGATCTGCACAGAGCTCCAGGAGGCCAGGGAAGCTACACATAGGGACCCTGCCTTGAAAGAAAGAGAGAGAGAGAAAGAAAAGGGACGGCAGATCTTTCCATTTGGCAGAGTAGAGTGAAGTCATTGAGCCACTGGCAGATTGTCTCAGGGCACTGCCGGTGCCTGAGAACCAGAGAAACCAGTTTCTGCTTGACAGCATTCCCAGACGCCAGCCTGCAGTTTTACAGCAGTTAGTGTTCTAAGTGCCTGCCAAATTAGGGTCTGTCCCTTTGAGCTTCCTCCTGGTTTTCATGGGGAGAGAGGTCTAACAGGCTCTTGCTCTGGTCCCCTGGCTTGCCTGGAAGGGTAAAGCTAGGCTCCAGTTTGAGGTGAGCCTCTGATCCTGGGATTTCTTAGAATGTATGAGCACCATGTCTGCCCAGCTTTCCTGGTTTTCTTACCTGTTTCATAAGCAATAGAAATAATTTTGTAGTTTAGATTGGATGTGCCTGTGATCCCAGCATTTGGGAAGCTGAGCAGCCTAGGCCACATATAAAGACACTGTCCCCCCCCCAAAAAAAATGTGTGTTGGCATGTGTGAGCATGCCGATAGGGCCCTTTTCTGGGCCCTGAAAAGAAGAAACCAGCAAACAGAACAGGAGACATGCCTTTACCATTACCTGCAGATAATGCAGACCAGCTGTGTGTGTGTGGGGGGGGGTTTGCTTTTTTTTTTTTTTTTTTCTAGAAAGGTTCTCGATGGCTAGCCTGGCACTGGCTAGGTAGAACAGGCCGGCCTTAAACTCAAGACCTGCCTGCCTCTGCCTTCTGAGTGTGACTAAAGGTGTGCCATGACACCCAACTAAATTTTTCATTCTTGTGTGTTTAACAGTAAAAGCCCTTAATAAAAATAACTTGCTGAAATTCTGCCCAGCCCCACCCCACCAGCCTGGGCTAGTGTGGCTGGCGTGTTACTGTCAGGGACCCCATAACGGAAAGCAGAGACCTTCTGATGGAGGCAGGGTGCCTTTGTGAGACCTCGGATGGTGGGAAAGGGTCCAAGGAATGGTGGCTTCCAAGGAGCTCTGTTTCGTGTTTCCCACTGCCTGTGGGTGTCAGTTTAGCGCGCGCGCACACATACAGACACACACACACACACACACACACCCCTTGGATCCTCTGAGGGGCCCTTGTCCCAGCACTTGGGCTCTGAGCAGATGAGTGTGAATTTAGATCTCTCCTTGTTTGAAGGTAAAGGGTGTTATTTTGTGATTGTTTCATTGTGAAGGTTAAGTTCTTACTGTTACATTTAATGTGTATGTGTGCTCATGCGTCCTCTCAAAAGCTTGTCATAGCCCTTGAGGTCAGAGGAAGGAAGAAGACCTTTAGGAATGGCGGCTTCTTCCACCATGTAGGGACTGGAGACTGAACTCACGTTGTCTGACCTGGCAGCAGGTGCTGCCCGCCCTGGCAACCTTCTGGTTTTGTTTGTTAAGTCAGTTTTCTGCCTGGCCTTGAAGTCACTGTGTTGCTGAGTGAGATTAGTTAGTTTTAAAATTCTGATCTTCCTGCCTCTACCTCCCGTGAGCTGGGACTGTGGGTGTGCTCCACGTTGGAGCACCTAAGACTGCACAGAAAACAGCACAGTCGCCTTCATTAACTTCCAGGCTGCTTAGCTCAGCAGGGCATCTGCAGCTGAGTGACCCCATGGTGCCCCTCACCGTGTTTTCATAGGGATTCTGACTGGGTCCTGGGAGTCCTCCTCACCTTGTCTTGTTGGTGGGAGCAGGGCTGCCTCCTCCCCCTGACAGCATGTAGGTTGGGCCAGGTGGAAACCTGAAGGTTCTGTTCTGTGTTTACTCAGGGCCTTGTTGCTCCATCCTGTGTTTTGTGATCTTTGGCACATTGTCAAAAGTACCTGTGCAGGTGTGTGCCAGCTGGTTCTTTTTACTAAGATGCCTTGGGCCTCATACTTACTAGGCAATTGCATTACTGATGAGTTAGGTGTCTCCAGTTCTTTCTGATTTTTTGTTTTGTTTTTAGTTTTGAGATAGGATCTTACTGAATTCCTCAGCCTGGCCTTGAACTTTCCACCCCTCTGGTTCATGCTCCAGGTCGCTAGGATCACTGACCTGTTGTGTTGTGAGCCTTGGTGGGGAGGTGGTTTAGGTCACGAGCATGCGGAAGGACCTGCAGTTGATGCCCAGTGCCCATGAAAGCCCGGTGTGGGGGCAGCTGTGACCCTGTGCTGGAGGAGGGCTGGAATGATGCGTGCCGCTGCATGCAGCCTTTCTCGGGGTTCCGGGTATTGAATTCGGGTCAGCAGGCTTGGGTAGCAGGCATTTTTACCCAGTGAGCCAGCGCACTGGCCCTGGAATTTCCTTTTCGGCATCGTGGGAGCTGCGGAAGGGCAAGTCTGCGCTGTCTGTAGATTGTTGTTTTGAGAACATGTGGCTCTGTACCATGATCGTAACAGTCTGAGAGAACAGAAGCACAGGCCCTGCCCTTTGTGATTTCCAAGAACATCTCCAGGAGTAGACTACAGTAAAGACATGAGCAGGCAGGAGAGGACGAGGACAGCCTGTGACCGAGTGCATGGCTCTGGGACAGTTGAGCTCGAGAGCTGTCGTGTGGCTGCTCATGCCAATTGGCCTCCAGGCTGCAGAGGAAGTCATGGGCCCGCCACGACTCCTTTATTCAGGTGATTCCCTCGCCCTGTCCACAACCCCTGACCAGCCTCTAGCAGTGACTGCAAATGTGTCCAACCAGAACACCGTGGTTGGTGTTTTTCCCTTAGACCTTGGGACTCCTGGAACCTGGGCCTGTAAGCTGAGTTGGCCTTTGAGATGGGAAACTAGAGTCTAGTTTGTCTCTGAGGTTCTAGGATTTGGATGTAGGTGTTTGTGTATTGGTTGTCTTTATGGGAGGGTGTGTAGGGCCTGGAATCCAGGGCTAGCCACACCCTCACTTGTCCGTCTCTGAGTTAAGGGCAGAAGCTACCTGCAGCTGCAACAGGTGCTTTGGACTTTGCCAGGCGATGTGTTTCTCTCCGTATAAGGAAGACAGCATCAGCGCCAGCTTTGGGAACAGGTCTGGAGGAACTGATAGGCCCAGAACACTTTGCTTCTTCCCCTTTGGAGAATCTTGAAAACCTCGGACTTCCTCCTACAGAGTGTGTGTCCTTTGACCCTGGGATTATCCCCATCAACCCACTTGGGTTCTGTTTTGTTTCAGAGTCTTGTGGCGTTTCGAAGGTAGTGGGGAGATGCCGGGCTTCCATCCCCAGGTGGTGGTACAATGTCACTGATGGGTCCTGCCAGCTGTTTGTGTATGGCGGCTGTGAAGGAAATGGCAATAACTACCTGAGCAAGGAGGAGTGTCTTGAGAAGTGTGCTGGTGTCACTGGTAAGACCGGAGTTTGGCGACTTTAGAAGCTTAGATAGAGTTCATTGTTGGGATGTGCACATCTTCTGAGTGCTGGGATGGCGTGGGATTCCACAGCAGACCCCTTGAGCTGTTCCCCGGCCACACTGGCCTCTCTGCAGGCCCCTGCTTCTCACAGAAAGTCAAGCCTAGCACCTGCCCTCCTCCTCCTGAGTGCAAGTGCTACGCCAGCCCACTCCAGAGGACTGGCCTTCTGATACACTCCTGCAGGCCGCTTGTCCCTGGGTCCTCTGAGACAGCTGACTGAAAAGCTCACAAAGCCGTGTTAGGGGCTAACCCTGGGGTGTGCGCCCTGAAATCACCTTCGTCCAGTCTTCAAGGTGCCATTGGCCTTAGAGTTCAAATAAACCTGAAGGCCTAGCAGAGAGCTGCCTTCTCATCATCCACCCCCCACCCACCCACCCCCACCCACCCCCGGTCCCAAGGCAGGCGCCGAGCTGCCCACAAAAACTTTGCGCAGCCTTTCCTGGCTTGCAGATCTGCCGCATGACTTGAAGCCGATTGGTTCGGTGTTGAGCCCCAGGGCTCAGTCCCCATCCCAGTGAGGTTTATGTATGGGATGGGTTCTGTCTCCTCACTTTCTGGCTTTCTTGATGGTGAGCTATGCATTCAGAGATGAGCTTGGCACCCTCAGGTTGTGTGAAGGCCGGTCAGCAGTGCCCTCAGGTGGTGACCTCTGCTGTGCTGCGGCCGGTGAGATGCCTGGTCATGGGGAGGGCCAGTCGGAGGGATTTGGAGACGTGACGTGGTGCTGGGGCCAGGAATGGGTTTTAATTTAGTGTTCTGACCCATAGGTTTTTTTTTTTTTTTTTAACTGTGTAGTCCAAGTCTCAAACTCCTGATCTTCCTGCCTCCCTCTCAGGTGTTAAGGTTAGAGTGTCCACCACCGATGCCTAGCTAGGGTGAGATTTCTGGTGGTGTAGGCCAGTCTGTCACCTTTTAGGTGCTAATTGGTACATAGGAATCTGAGTGAAGAAAATGTTGTTTCTGTGTATTTCCTCTCCAGTGTGGAGGGAAGGAGTCGGAGATGTTGCTTGCTCCCTTTGATGTGCTGTTACCATCTTAGAAAGAGGGTTGAAGTGATACAGACGTGAGCAGGAGACAGTGGGCTTAAGGCAGTCGTATCTCCCTGGACATGGTTCAGAACCTGACCCCAGCTGCAAGGGCCTGGCAGGCTTTTGTGGCATTTGGTTGTGTGTCTCTTGGCACTGTCATGGGAAACAGCCTGTAAGGCAAGCTGAAAACTGCCAGAGCCGCTGGTCCCCAGAGTCTTTGCCCGCCAGACTTCTAGGCAAGCAAGTCCTGAGTGAGGCCAAATGAGAATGAGGATGTGTGCCAGTTTATTAATTTGTAATGGGAACTGGAACTTCCCGGGGGACCTGACTGTCCCTGTGCCTGCCTTTCATCTAAGTAGGTAAGGCTTCTAGCTTGTTGCCGGACAGTGCTTGATGAGGACAGAGGTAGGAGGCAGGCTGCGGGGAGCTGCATGACATCCGGCCAGCCCCAGGCCTCTGCACCCATGATCCTAATTTGTACTGAAGACCATTTTATCAGCTGCAGAATTGATCAGGAGGGGCATTAGGAGGCCATCCTGGGCAACGCAGCCACGAGACCGTCTATCCCCTCGTGAGGAGCACTCACACCCCACCTAAAACCTGACCATTTCGCTGGCCTGTGATCCCAGAACTTGGGAGGCAGAGGCAGGCAGAGCTGAGTTTCAGGCCAGCCTGGTCTACTGAGTGAGCTCCAGAACAGACAGGCTACACAGAGAAACCCCATCTCAAAAAACAAACAACCAACCAGAACCTGACGATTGGAAGTTTCTTTGTTGCTCCACTCCACCCACTCCTGCTCCGTCTGAGACAGGTTCTCTGTGTTGCCTAGGCTGCTGCTTTGACCCTCTTGCCTCAGCCTGCCCAGTAGTTAGGACTGTAGGAGTGTCACCGTGCCTACCGTGCCGTTCCAGCCATTCTAAGTGTGCTCAGCAAGAGTAAATACCTTTGCAGCTGCGGGAGGGGGAGCAGCCTGTGATCCCAGCGCTCAGTGCAAGGCCAGCCTGGTCTACAGAGCAAGTCCAGAACAACCAGGGCTACACAGAGAAACCCTGTCTTAAAAAAACAAAAACGAACCAAACAAAAACAAACAAGCTCTGTGTTCACATAGGGACCTGAGACTTGTCCTCTCACACCACACGTGCTCTGGCACATACACATGCGCGCACACAATCATGATTTTTTAAACACTGCTACAACAACAACAAAACTTTAAAAGATCCTTGTTAATGCCATTACTTGGGGTGTGAGATGGCTCAGTGCTTAAGAGCACTACTAGATGCCTAGATGCTGTTCCAGAAGACCCGGGTTTAGTTACCAGCATCCACATGGCAGCTCACTGCCTGTAACTCCAGTTCCCAGGGATCTCACTCTCTCACACACAAATGAGGCAGAACACCAGTGCACACGGAATAAAAATAAAATGTCATAACTCACTGTATGTGGTGGCACGCCTTTAATCCCAGCTCCTGGGAGACAGAGGCAGGTGGAACTCTATGAGTTCGAGGACAGCCAGGGCTATACAAACCCTATCCAAAAAAAAAAAGGCCAACTCTGCTTTAAAAAAATAGGCCGGCTCAGAGGGTCAGGAGCTGTAGGAGCCCTGGCTGTGTAAGGTCCTTTTGTGTGAGCTTGCACTGGTTCCTCAGCCCCAGAAACTCACTTCTCAGTAGAAAAGCTTACATGGCCCTCATGCTCCACGAAAGAAGAAATGGGGGTTGGTGTAGCACATGGGGCCCTCTTGATGGTGGCTTTCTTTTCCCATCTTTGCCCTCCTAGAGCGCACCATTGAGGGTGTGGCTGGGAACAGGAACGGAGCCGACTCTTCTGTCCTGAGTGGTAAGTTCCTAAAGGCCCTCCTGGGAACGGGGGAATGCTTCCGCCTCTGCCTCAGTGTTACCAGCACTGGGCCAGCAACAGAAGGGCTGAGGGCTTCTGCTCGCAGGGCCACCAAGGCCTATGGCTCAGGCCCTGCCTTCCTCCAGGCTGCTGTCTGTCGTCCTGTGTTCTCTGCTCCCCATTGGGGTCGCTATCTTCCTCCTCCTGCTACAAGTCCTGTGTCCTCTACCACCCCACCCCTCTGCCCACTGCTGACTTCATCTAGAGCTTTGTGTTAGTTTGCTTTGTAGAGCTGGCAGTAGCCGCCCTGCTGCTCTTTTATGCCTAAGGGACTCTGCTGCAGGGGCCTGGGTGAGTGGTCCCTTGCACTAGCTAGTAGCAGTTGTACCCTTGGTGTTAGGCCCCAGGCCAGGGCCTTGGCAGGGCCAGCAAGACCTGCCCTTCCACAGAGGGAGGCCACTAACTGCCCTCATGAGAACAAAACTCTCGGCAGCTGTTCCCGTATGGGCCTGTGGGAGGTCTGCGGCCGCTGGCTCACCTGCAGGACCCTGCATGACAGCTCATATTTTCAGCCTGTTTCTGAAGAAATTTTTCCAATAGAATAAAAGTTTCTGGGTGCTTCAGAAAATGAACAAAGCTATGTTTTTGTCACCTCAGAAATGTGACTTAGTTTCCATAGTAACCACTGGAATAGCAGGAGCCCCACCCACCCCAGTGTTGAGTGTGTCCTGTGCTCCAGAAGACATCAGGACCAAGGGATACGACACTCCCCCCCCTTACAGTGGCCGTGCGTCCTTCTGGGGCCCTTTATAGTCAGCCCTGCTAGGCCGGTTGTCCCGTGTCCCTCCTAACCAGGTGTTTGTGTTGCAGTTCCCAGAAAGCAGGACTCTGAGGGCCTCGCTGGTGAGATCTTCAACTATGAAGGTATAACTTAGAGCGTCAGCTGTGTCCTTACGGGGTTGGGGACTGAGTTCACTCGAGGAGCTTGTAGAGCAGGCCCTCCAGACCTTGCCAGCTGGCTGCACTTCAGAGCTGGGGCTGGGGTGACAGCATAGTGGGTGTCCAGGGCTGTCGGGGACCCAGATGTGCCAGCAGAGAGGCAGCGGGGCCTGCGCTTCTAGAATTCACCTGCCAACCTGACTCACAGCTCTGTGGCTGTGGACAGGAGCTGTGCCCTGTACGTAATTCCCATGTGTAAAGTGAGGTCCACACAGGAGAGGGCTACCCAGTGCATGGAAAGTGCCTGGGACTTCGAGAACGGCAGAAACCACGGTCAGGGTTGGCTACAAAGCGCCCCTCCCCCACTCCCAGTGGTCTGCAACTGAAATCCCAGCACTTGGGGTAGGGGTTAAGACAGGAGTACGAGACCGCTCTGGACCATACAGTTTCACACCACACACATCAGAAAAAGAAAATACAAAGCTGGTGTGAACAGGCCAGACTGACTGTGCCTGACCCGCGGGCCTCACTGAGAAGACCACAGTCTCCCTCACTCAGCTGTCAGGCCTCATGCTTCCCTCTTGGCCCTGCTGGTTTGCCCTCCTGAGGCCCCTTGCTCTTGCTTCCAGAGTACTGTGTCCCGAAGGCCGACACTGGGCCTTGCCGGGCAGCCTTCCGCCAGTGGTACTATGACGTGGAGAAGAGTTCCTGTGACAGCTTCATCTACGGCGGGTGCCGCGGCAACAGGAACAGATACCTCTCCCGGGAGAAGTGCATGCAGCGCTGCTCCGGCAAGTCAGCCGACCCTCCCTGCACCGTGGGGCCCTGCTCCTGAGAGGCTCCTTCCCCATCCCCTCCCTAAAATGAGGCCTGTGGAAATATCCATCCTTTGGAAATGTCATCCCTTGAATGACAAGGTCTCAGAAGCTCCAGAGCTCGTGGGAAGAGCCTTAGTGTTTGAGAGGCAGAGGGGACCTATGTGGTGTCAGCTCTGAGGCTGGAGAGCAGGGTGGACTGACCTCACATTTTGCATTCTCTGTAGGCAAGCAGATGTATCCTGCTCTGACTCCTGGCACTAAAGGTGAGTGGCCTCAACCTTCTCCGCCTGCCTCCGCTTCCCCGCCACTGGCCTTCCTGGACGAACTGGGTTCTGCCCAGTAGTGTTTCCTTGTTTTCAACATTGTTCCTCACCGGAATGCCCTTGTGGCAGAGGGCTGTGTCTCTATGAAAATGGTTAGGCAGCTTGGAACTTGTGGACATTTGCCCTACAGTAAACACTGTGCACAGTGGAGGCTGAGCCTGAATCAGGAGTCCCTAGGCAACTACAGGGGTTGTGTGGCAGACAGGCCTGTCCTGTGAGTCCACACGCAAGCCTGAGAGGAACTCCTGGTTCCGAGGGAACTTAGCTACCCTAGGCTGTGAAGAGATGCTCAGGCCAGCAGGAGGCAGACACAGCGGGCAGCCTGGCCTGCCGAGGAGGCCCCGTGTCCTCCCTCTTTTCTTTCTGAGCCTGTGTGGACAGCGAGTGCTATTCTGTGGACCTGCCACACTGGTTTGGCCTGTGAAGGAGCCAACAGCCGGCCTACAAGTCTGTCTAGAAGTAGAATCTGATTCTCAGGGCTGGGCTGGAAAGGTGCCCGGGTCTGGAGAGCTGGCTGTGGGTGGAGTTGGCCAGGGGATTGCCCCAAAAGGCTAGATAGGTCCTGTCGCCAGTGGAGGAGGGAGCCAGGTGAATGTCCCAGGAAATCAGGTGCCTGAGATGGAGCCCCACCTTAGCTGACCAACGGGGCAGCCGCTGTTACTCACTGCACTTTGAAGCCAGGCCCTCCCAGCTCTGCTGGGTGAACCCTCTCCAACCAGACTGCAGGGCTCAGGCAGCCAGCCTCATAGGACATTTAAAGTCAGCCCGGGCCACTTTAGATCTTGTCTCAAAAAAACACAATGTGGGGGCTGGAGAGACAGCTCAGAGGTTAGGAGCACTGGCTGCTCTTCCAGAGGGCCTGAGTTCAACTCCCAGCAACCACATGGTGGCTCACAACCATCTATAATGAGATCTGGTGCCCTCATCTGGCTTGCAGGTGTACATGCAGCAGAACACTATACATAATAAGTAAGTCTTAACACACACACACACACACACCAGCGTTGTGGAGTTCCATCCCCAACACCCACATACTTCCTCGCAACCATTTGTAATTCTAGTTAAGGGGATTCAATGCCCTCTTTTGGCCTCCTCAGGCACCGTGTGGCGCTCAGACGTACATTTAAGCAAAAGCACATATGCATAAATTTTAAAAATGAAGTTGAGAAGGCGTTCTGTGTTTATTGGGGTGACTACCCTGGCAAGCAGTCTCTGGACTCCCAGGCTGAAGAGGGCATCTGGCCGGGTTCCTCCTTGCCTTACCTGTCCCTCTTGTCCTTAGCGGTCGTCCTGGTGGGGCTGTTTGTGATGGTCCTGATCCTCCTCCTGGGAGCCTCTGTGGTGTGCCTGATCCGGGTGGCACGCAGGAAGCAGGAGCGCGCGCTCCGAACCGTGTGGAGCACGGGGGACGACAAGGAGCGGCTGGTGAAGAGCACCTATGTCTTGTAAAAGCCCCAGTGCTGGGGGGCAGGGAGGGCGGGCGGGGAGCATGAGCTTGTATCCCAGAGATCATTAGGGGGTTGGTCTTTGCTTCCTGGGGCAGAGAAGCTCTTCCTAGTCCCATTTGGCTGCTTAGGCCCCTTGACTTCTGTTTCTCCCCCATCCTCTGCCTTTGCACCGTTGCCTGCTTTAGCCTCACTGGTAGTCCTGTTCTGGTAATTTTCATTGTTAGTTTGATTCATGTTGTGTTTTTTTAAGTAGATAAAGGTTTTTTAAATTGGGATTCTGAACGAAAAAAAGTATGTTTAATAAAATGGGCTTTTAAAATAAAATTTACTGTGTAGCCTCTTTTTTCTCGTGACTGCTAATATATCTGTCAAGGTTTATCTCAGTACCTGAGACAGTACTAGAGACAGGTCTTTTGCTTTAGAGACAAAGTAGATGTCTTGTCTTTTTTATACCACACAGGGTTCTGTATGTCTTAAGCTAACCTCGAGCTCTTTCCTGACAGAAATGACCTGAGCTTGGTACCCGCTCCTAAGTGCTGACATTACAGGAGTGTGCCCTGTTCTGGGTCGGAACCCAGGGCAGCGTCTGTGCTGGGCAGGGACTTCACCAGCAGTCCTGCGTCCCGACAGCCCTCAGTGTTTTTAAATTTTCATTTACTTACTCACTTATTTATTTATTCATTCATTCATTTATTTATCTAGCTGTTTATTTTTGAGGCGAGGTTTCTCTGTGCTCTGGCTGTCCTGGAACTTGTTCTGTAGACCAGGCTGGTTTTGAGCTCAACGGGAGCTCCGCCTGCCTCTGCCTCCCTGAGTGCAGGGATTAAAGGCTTATTACTGTGTTTATTGGGGTGACTACCCTGGCAAGCAGTCTCCGGACTCCCAGGCTGAGGAGGGCATCTGGCCGTGTTCCTCCTTGCCTTACCTGTCCTGGCCTTACCACCTCTCCTGGCCAACCCTCAAAATTTGTAAGATTTTTATTTTAGTTATATGACTGTTTTGCTTGTATGTATCTGTGTGTACCGTGTGTGTTTCTGGTAACTAAGGAGGCCAAAAGAAAGTGCTGGATCTCCTGGAACTAGAGTTAGAGATGGCTGTGAGCCCTCGTGTGGTTCTAGGAAGCAAACCTCGGTCCTTGTTTAGAGCAGCCAGCACTCTTAATCACTGAGGCATTTCTCCAGCTCCTCTTCATACTCTGAAATTCCTAGCCACACTCCCAAACAATTCCCGAGCACCTTCCTGGTGGTCCTTGCTTCTCTGGCAAATGGACACTTTGATTCTGGATGTTGGGCAAAGACTCCAGCTGTCCTGCCTTCTGAGCCTCTAGAGTCCACCTGAGATCTGCCTGTTGGGAGGTGCACAAAAGCGAGGCGTCTGCCCCAGGCAGGGGCCTCAGCGAAGGAGCATGGTAGCACACTCCTGTAACACAGGCACTCAGAAGCAGGAGGGGCGTCTCCATCCAGGACGGGGAGATGGTGTAGAGGAACTTTAATTCAGAACATGGCTGTTCTGGCAAGAAAGCACAGCCGAAGACTTTCTAGGTCTGTAGGAGACAGAGAAGCCAGATGGAAGCAGCTTGGAGAGGGGTTTGAGCCAGAACAGCTGAGTTGAACCAGCCAGCCAGAGTTGAGAGAGAACTAGAAAGGGTTCTAGTTCTCATCCAGCAGTAAGTCTTAGAGGCTGAAAACACTGTAGATTGGATGGTGTGGAGGCTAGAGGCTCCCAGGACTAGGCCTAGGTTAGCAGACGGAGGAGACAATAAGCCTCAGACCACAATTATACAGGTGAATAAGAGATACTTTAACAAGGTAGCTTTTGGGAAGGACCCTATTTCAATTCCCAAACCAGAGTGGCTCACTACCCTCTGCTGCTCCGGCTCCAGGAGGTCCAGCACTGCTTGTTCCGGTCTCTGCGGCAGGAGGCGCACTGTGACATCCGTGCGAGTGAGACAGTCCGCAGAGTTTAACACAGAGCAGGCCGGGCGCTGGCGGGCACGCCCGTAGTCCAGCACCGAGGAGGCAGGGGCAGGCGGATCTCCTTGAGTTAGAGGCCAGCCTCGTCCACAGAGTCGAGTTCCACGACAGCCAGGGTTACACAGAAAAACCCTGTCTCGAAAAACCAAAAGTAAATCACTGCCAGTATTGAACCCTGCTTTGTCCAGGACCTAGTGGTGGTATGCAGGCCTGGGACACAGGGCTCATGGACCCACATAGCCTTGCTCCAGTTAGTTCTGGAATGGTTCTGCAGCCAAATACCCAACGTGCCTCTCTGCAGCATTTATGTTTGTGGGGTTGGTAGCCACAGAATATCTCCATTTCCGGTGTGGGGGCAGTTTCTCTTTGACCCTCACAGTGACACTAAAGGTCACTGTCTGGTCCAGCAGTGTGGGTCCAGTGGATGACAGACCCTTATAGACATCCAGTCTGTAAAATACGCTAAGCTTCCCTGGCCTAAGCCTCCTGGGTGTTAGGGTGAAAGGTCAGAGGTCACAATGCCTCACTTGTTGTCTAGGGATGAAACAGTGAAGGAGTCTGACTGTGGCTTCTGCTGGAGTGGAGCCACAAACGCAGTAGATGCCCATGTGGTTGAGGGCTGGAGACCGGGCTGCTGGGAGAGCCCATCCGCGTGGGCCTCTGGTCCTGCTGCTTGTGCTCACGCAAAGTTTGCAAAACAGTTGTACTTGCCTCACCCTCTCCGCAGGAGGGTCTGTGGTGAGCAGCTGCTTTAGAAGGGGAAGCTGTTGGAGCTGGTCCCCGGAATGTAAACACACCCATCTTGTCCTTGGCATGTCCTGGGCTCTAAGGTTTAAGAACAGATGTTCCTAAGCTGGAGAGCTGGCCCAGCGGCTAAGAGCACTGGCTGCTCTTCCAGAGGTCCTGAGTTCAATTCCCAGCATCCACACGGTGTGCTCGCAGCCATCCCATGCTGGGATCTGATGCCCTCTTCTGGAGTGCAGGTGTCCATGCAGGTAAAGCACTCCCACAGTAAAGTCTTTACAAAGCAACATCTGAGCCCCGTGCAGGTCATAGGGAGGAGGGAAGATTTCCGGTGTAAAGCTGTCAGAGTTCCAAAGCTTCCTAACACCCTTTTGTTGATGTCAGGCAATTGGCAGGCCGAGCCACACCCTCAACCTATGTTCCTGCTTTGTTACAATGTGTTCATCTGGGGTCCCGGGAGCAAAGAAACCCCAGGCCAGAGTGGGTGAGAAGCTGGGAAGCCAGGTTGACCCAGGAGTCTAGAGGTAAACAGCCAGGATGTTAGCTTAGAAGCAGAATGACATAAACCCTGGTCTGAGCACGGGGTGGAGGCTGAGCTTAGCTCCTTATCTCATCTCTAGATCATTGGTCAGTTCCCGGGGGGCCACCCGGTATCCGTGGTAGTCCCAGGCCAGTACAGTCTGAAGAGAAAGAAGACAGTCGCTACATGCTGTGAGTCCAGCCAGCTGCTAGGATGTGGTTGAATGGAGATAATATTGTTTATGGGAACTGGGCCTCTATCGTGGAAACTCCAGGAAAGACTAAACCCAGCCTCACCTAGTCAAGCACGTAACCTCAAGCACGGAGGAAGAACCTCAGGCACATGGCAGTCCAGGAAAGGCACACAGGTGTCCCGGTTGGGTCCCTCGGCATATTGGCTTCCCTGTCCACCCAAATTGTTGACCAGAAATATTTTTGTGAATATTTGCTGGGTAGTGGGGGGGAGGGGGACGACACACTTTTAATCTCAGCATTCCGGAGGCAGGCAGGCAGATCTCTCTGATTCGGAAGCCATCCTGGTCTACAGAGAGAGTTCCAGGACAGCCAGAGCTGCATAGCCCCTGTCCCAGAACAAAACAAAAATAAAATTGCAGGGTTGGAGTGAGCCTCTGAGAAGGCCTTTCCTTCAGGGGAGAAGGGAGAGGGACCTGGGGATGGACCACACACACCAGCACTGTCGCAGGCCGGCTGAAAGGCGGGGCCCTCTCCTTGAGGGGGCACCAAGACATCTGGGGCAGTATGAAAAACAGAAGGAAGGGAGCAGCAGGTGCCCCAGAGGGACGCAGTGCGCAGCGGGTCCTGAGAGGAGGACAGGTGGAGATGGCTACACTCGCTGGCGTGGACCCCAGCATGAGAAAAGCCACACCACCTCTTCAAGCTTCGGTATCTCGGGTCTCGGTGACTTGAGACAATGGAGGGCAGGTACGGGGCTGGGTGAAGGGAAGAGTAGGAGCCTGGCATCCTATGTACAAAGCAATGGAAGCGGTCAGGAGAGAGGCCACACCCTCCCTTTACCACTCTTTCACGTGGAAACAGCACGAAGGAGGAAATCGGCTCTGCCTCCAGGCTGCACCTGACCCCACTGCCTGGCAGCCCGCTAGCCGCCTCCTAGGGAGGCAAAGGCAGAGCCGGTCACACTGACCTCCCCGTGGGGAGGGGAGCGCCCAGGGTACAGCCTACACTACTGACCCCTGCCTGTTCAGGGCAGCTACCCAGGATGCTGTATTTGCTACACATCAGACAGGCACTCTGTCACTGAGCCACACCCCTAGGCCCTCGCTGGGTGCATGCATGCCTGTGTGTGCTGGAGCACGTGGAGGTCAGAGGGCCATCTCAGATGCTGGCCCTTGCCTTCTACCTCGAGATAAGAATTCTCTCTTTTTTTTTTAAGATTTGTTAGTTCTGTGTATGTCCAAGTTCCAGCAAAGACCAGAAGGCATCTAATTCCTGGGACCTGGACGTAGAGGCGGTTGTGGGTGCTGGGAATGGAATCTGGGTCCTTTGGAAGCGTCAGTGCTCTTAACCGCTGAGCCCTCTCTCCAGCCCAGACAAGGTCTTGTTTGCTCTGTGCGTGCTGGACTAGCTGGTCCTCGAGCTCCTGGGTTTTCTGTCTGTGCGCCATGCAACCTGAGATTGCAGACATGTGCTACCTTGTCCAGCTCTGCACAGCTGAGAGCTGGAGCTGGCTGGATGGCAGTCGCTTCACTTCCTGAGCTGGGGATCCTGACCTCGGATCTGAGAGGCCAGGGCTCAGCTCCCTGCTACCCTTAGAGGCAGCCCCTGGATTTAAGGGTGGCTCAAACAAAAAAGAGCATTAAGAAAAAGAAAAAGAAAAACCGATTTGTGAGCTGAGCACAGTGGTGCACACCTGTGATCCCAGCACTCAGGCAGGCAGAGGCAGGCGGGTACCTGAGTTCAAGATAGATCAGCCTGGTCTACAAAGTGAGTCCAGGACAGACAGGGCTACACAGAGAAACCCTGTCTCCAAAAAATAAATAAATATAGACTTGTATTTGTGTGTGTCACGTGTGTACTGGGACCTGCAGAGTTCAGAGGCCTTCAGCTCTCCAGTTCCGGGCAGCTGTGAGGCACGGGGTTCAGGGAATCTCAGCTCAGGTCTTCTGCATAGCACTTGTTCCCAGCCCCTGAGCGATCTCCTCAGCCTCTCAATGCTTTTCGTTTTCGTGTGTGTGGGGTGGGGGTCTGCTTATATGTGCGTAGGAGCACCATGTGCATGCCTGGTGCCCGTGGAGGTCAGGAAAGGGGGCCAGGGCCTGCGCTGACAGTTTCAAACTGCACGTGAGTACTGAGAATTAAACCCCGGTCCCCTGCAAGAACAAATGGGTTTAACCATTGAGCCATCCCTCCAGCCCCTCAACGTGGTGTCCCGAGACGGGGTCTCACTGTGTAGCTCAGGCTGGCCTGCAGCTCGGAACCCTCCCAAGCTTTCCTTCCTTCCTTGTCCAGTGCTCAGATCATAGGCCTTTCCACAGGGACAGCAGGGCCGAGAGTTCAGGGCAGCCGAGTGTACCTGCTGGCAATCCAAGGCATGCCGGGAGCGTACACCCCAGGCAGAGTGAGCCAAAACAGCTCACGCCACTCAGTCACAGGTCTGGGTGAGGAGCAAAGTGGACAGGGACCCACCGACACGGAATTTATGTTTAGCCAAGGGTAGACTTTCTGTTCCATACTGCAGGAAGCTGTGGGCTCAAGGGCCATCCCTGCTCGCCATGCTATAGACCAAAGGTCCCCACCCTCCCGCCTGGTTTCCCACTCAGACTTCCTTAAAGATCCTGCGGCGGCAGAGCTGCCTGAAGGCCTTTGCCCCTGTGACCCTTGACCCCACAACACCCTTCCCTCCTATCTTAATTTACTCTCTTCCTTTTTTCCCCTTGGTTTTCTTAGAGTCTGTGTAGTCCTGGAAGTTGCTCTGTATACCAGGCTGGCCTTGAACTCAGAGCTCTGCCTGCCTCCTGAGTGTCAGGATTAAAGCTGTGCGCCACCACCCCGCACGTTTGTCAGACTATGTAGCTCAGGCTGGAGCAGTACTTTCAATCCTCCAGCCTCAGTCTCCTGATTATAGTGCCTAGCTTGGAGCTGTGGCTCGTGTCCCGAAGTCACACGCTCAAGCCCAGTCCCAAACGCGATGGTTTTGAAGTGGCACTGTTGGCTGTCGCAGGATCTTGAGAGGGAAGAGGTCCTGCATCCCGACGTTATGAAAGAACCAAGTCAGCTTCACAGGCAGCGGGCCACCTCCCTGCGAGGGAGCCCTGTCTGCCAAAGCCGGCGTCCAGCCTCTGCAGCTATGAGGTAAATTACTGTTTAAGCCACTTCCGTGCTGTATTTGTTGTAACAGCCCAAATTAAGACACCTGTCTTTACCAAAACAACTCGGCACATTTCACCACCACACACACCACCAGGCACCCGTCGCGTCTTCCACCATCGCCCCAGGGTACAGCTTTGCTGAGGCGCACTAGCCTGAGCTCCAAATCCCTCAGCCTCAACTCCGGCCGGAGGGGCTGGGAACTCAGCTCCCAGAATGCACTGAGTCTGTCCTTAACTTTGTTCAGTGGGTCTGGAAGGGCTTTTCCGAAGCAAGCACCTCAGCAAAGGGGCAACCGAAGCCGGGGCAGGTTCCTTTCCCCAACCTAGAGCCACCCCACCTCCACTCCCACCGAGGACAGCCTGGGCGGGGCTGGCAGCGCCGGGCGGTGAGCCGGGGCGGAGGTCTGGCGGGCCGGGCCCTGCAGCATTCCTCAGGTGGGCAGGCCCTGCGGCCCCGCCCCGCCCCTCCCCTCCCCTCCCCGAGGCTCGGCTGGCCTCCGCCGTCCCTCCGCACAGACCGGCCGCCGCCATGGAGTTCGACCTGGCCTCAGGTAAGCTCCCGGGGTGGTGGATTTGCGGTGCGAGGGGCCCGGCCTCGAACCCAGGGACTCCTGCCGGAGGGACGGTCCCAGCCGCCTGCCCACCCCGGCCAACGCCTCTCTCCTCTGCAGCCCTGGGCCCTGGTTCTAAGAAGCCAGAGGGGACAGGCCAAGCGGGGGACCCCAAACACTGTCCTGCTAAAGTTCCGGGCCGGCCCGAGGCGGGCGCTGCCCACAGGCCGAAGGTGAGTCACCGCGCCCCGGTGTCGCCCCCCGAGGGCCCGGGACGGGGGCTGGACGCTGCGCACGCGGGTGCCCGTCCTCACCGGCCCTCATCCCCCTCCATCTAGCATGGCTCCGGCAGCTCCTCCGACTCCAGCAGCAGCAACAGCAGCAGCTCCAGCGACTCGGAGGCCGAGGGGAAGGTAAGAGGCTGCCCCGCCCCCAGGATGCCCTCACGCACCCCAGACCCGGGCCTCGGCCAGGGTCAGGTTAGGATCTGGCCGCGGTGGGTGGGGCGGGCCCGGCCCCGCCGGCCACCGCCTCTGTCCTACCCACCGTCCTCGGCCCCCCAGGCCCGCGGCGCTGGCTGCAAGAAGCACGAACGCCCCTCAGACAAGGCCAAGCAACCCAAGGTGAAGAAGGACAAGAAAAAGAAGAAGGACCCTCGCTGACTCATTAAACTTGCCGCCCGGCGCCCCCGGCGCCCCCGGCGGCCAGGAGCGCAGGCGGCGCCGAGCCCGTCACTTTATTGTCGCGGGTGTGGCGCGGCCGACGGGAGCACCAAGGCCGGGGTGGGGGGAGGCCCGGGGGCGGGCGGGACGAGGGGCAGCCCGGGGCCGCGCCCTCCGCTCAGCGGACCAGGTGGAACGTGAGCCAGTACATGAGCAGCGGCTGTGCGGCCGCCACCGCCATGGTCAAGTACATGCGCAGCTGGTTCCGCGCCCCGCGCACCGGCACCCCTTCGGCCGCCGCCTGGGCCAGGATCTTCAGCCGCAGCGTCCGGATCTGGGAGGCAAGGGCGGACGGTCAGGGTGGGGGCCGGAGGGGCCGGGCAGCGCGGAACGAAGCCCTCCGCGGCCGCCCCCAGGAGGGCCTGCCGAGCGGCCACGCCCCCGACGTGGCGCAGACGCCGAGGCCGGAGGCTGGGCCGCGGCGGGAGGGTCGCCCCCTCCCTCCCTCCCTCCGGCAAAGCCGGTCCTCACACTTGACTAACACCCTCGGCCTCGCGAGCCACCAGAGCTACTTTCTCTTTAGTTTTGCTCAGGTGCGTTCTTCCCCGCCTCAACCTCCTCAGGGCAGGAGTTACCGCCCCCGGTCGGCTTTCTTTTTCATGTGTTTCATAGGGTTGGGGCGCTTGAGCTCTGGTGTGAAAGTCGCTTCACCGTGTGGGTTCCAGGAGAGGAACTCAGGGTGCCAGGTTGGCAGCAAGTGCCCTTTACCTGCTTAGCCACCTCACAGGCCCCCCCATGCTCTTAGGATGTGTCCCTGCGTGTGTGTGCAAACACGTGTGCACCTGGTTTGTTTGTAGAGGCTGGAAGACAGCCTCAGGGACCCACCTTTTCTCAGACAGGGTCTCCTGAACCGGGCACCTACTGAGCCCCACATTCCCAGCTCTGAGATTCTAAGGGTGTACCTCCACTCCAGGCTTTTTTTTTTTTTTTTTTTTTTTAAATGTGGCGTTCAACGATTGAACCCAGCTCTTGCTTACTGACAAAGCCACATCCCTGGCTCCCTTAGCTTTTAAAGGATGACAAGACTTTTGCTTGTGGATCAGATTTACCCAGTGGTGCTAGCATTTGCCCGATGCTTCTCAGGCATGCTCAGCCCGAGTCCTCCCAAGACCCCATGTAGACGGGATGACTCACTCTGAGTACAGCTTAGGAACAACCCAAGCATGGCAGTCGCCATGGCCCCCAGTCAGTCCTCTGCCCTAGCTGGGAGGACTCAAGACTGTCCTGAGACACACTGGCAGGAAAAAATAAGGGTGCGCGTCCAGCTCTGAGCCTGTGTCCTGGGCAACCCGGCCCCTACCATCCTGACTGGCTCTCAAAGGACCCACACAGGAGACTCCCAGAACTAGGAGACTCTCCTAGCCCTCAGGCTTGGTATTTGGATATTCCAAAGAATTCCCCACATCTGTCCAGGAGGCCTGTGGCCGCAGGCCACGCCGAGCCCCACTCACCATGAACACAAAGATGGACACACAGCACCAGGCAAGCACCAGGTAGTAGCCAATCTTCCCAAAGAGCAGGCCTGTGAGGACCCCACCAATCATCCTGAGGCGGGGAGGGAGAGGAATGAGTGTGAAGGAGAGGCCAAGGTCTGGGACTGGCAGGCAGGGGAGGCGCACTCACCCGACATATTTGTAGCCCAAGAAGGCCACCAGGTCAATGGTGGTGAGGTCGGTGTTGACAGTGACCAGGTAGAGGCTGAGCAGGATGGCCACAACCTCCAGGGTCAGCCAGGCCAGCGCCGAGCTCGCCTGTAGTCCTAGGAGGTCTGGGGAGAACCTGCAGGGAGTGACACCCACACCCACCCAGTCATGGGGCTGGGACAGCCCTGTGTTGAGGGCACTCAAGCCGGGACCTCGGAGCCCTGAGAGGGGTACCCGGAGGCCTCCCTAAAGAAAGGCCAGCTGGGTGGAAGCCTGAAGCCACCGGTGGGGAGGAACCATGCTCCACCCTGGGGCCTTCGAAGTGAGTCCACTGGTCCGGCTGTGGCTACTGTGGATGAGAGGTGGGGCCTGACTCAGCCTGGGGGTCAGGAAATGACAGGGCGGGAACCACAGGTGCTGGTCACACAAGGACAGCGCAGGCCTGACTCAGTGAACCGAGTGGGTGTGGGAGGACCCTGGGGCAGGGCAGCAGGGCTGGGTGAGCCATCTGTGCACCACAGGGCGGGAGGAGGCCAGGCCCACCTCTGAGACCTTTCAGCTGCTGCTAGAGAGTACAAGGGTGAAGGTGTGGAGCAAGTCATTTGGGGGACTGTGAGCCTAAGGATAGATTCGAGGCGCTGGTGAAAGGAAGGAAGGCGGGATTTAGGTCACACAGCACAAGTGGGTATCATGGGTTCTCCGTGGGTGGGCGAAGGCTGTCACGTGACTGTCCGGGCCGACTGGCAGCAAGGTGGGGAGACTGGAGAGCTGCCACCTCATCCCCACTGCGCTCCCCTGCTCCAGGGTCCTTACCTGTCCTGGGTCCCCAGTGCGAGGCCGGCCACCAGAATGTAGGTGATAAAAGCCATGGCTGTGGAAGGCAGACACAGGACTGTCAGAAGAGGGAAGCCCCTCTCGGACGCCAGGCACCAAACACCTGCCCCAGACATGCCCAGGCGGCTGTGGGAGGGCCCAACCTGGAATGTAGAGGTCTGGGGCGTTGATGTCAAAGCGTGGGGCCACTGGGGTGTCCTGTTGGTACTGCACCTCCCAGTCCTATGGAGAGAGTTGGGGGAGTGGTGGGACCCCAGGTGGGAGGCTCCCCCCAGCCCGGCATGTGCTGAGTGGGTGGGCTGACCTGGTGTAGGTAGGGGAAGACCAGCAGGCCCAGCTTCCTGCCCACGTACACCGTGTCCACGGCAAAGTAGTACTTGAGCTTGCTCACGGGGATGAAGCGGTCGATCTGCGGAGGCAAAGCTCAAGCCTGAGTGCCAATTCTGCCTGCCCTCCACCCCCCAGCCCAGCAGCCTCGCCTACTCACGTTCTTGTCCACCAGCTCCTTGCCGTGAGCGGCCAGGCTGGTCCCATAGGCCATCGCCATGTTGGACACAGGGTCGGCCAGGAAGGCTGCCTCAGCCGGGGAGGAATGGGTGTGGTAACCCAGACCACCAGGTGACGGCTGGCCTCCATAGCCCCGGCTCGGGGCTGAGCTCGTGTCATCGAAAAACTGGTGGGGATCAGCCATGCCCGGCTGGGACACTGGGACCCTCCGCTTTGAGGCTGCAGAGGAAAAGGGAGGGAGTTCATTACTTCTGCAGACCCCACCATCCTCTCTGGCCACAGCTGGGACAACAGTCACCAAAGTAGCCTTGTTGTGAACCAGATAGCTGCCATCCTACGCCCATCCATCAGTCAACTATCCCCACATCCATCCATTCATCTATCTGTTCGTCATCTAGTTACTCGTCATCCATTCCTCTGTTTATCCATAGTCCATTCACCTAGTTACCCATCATCCATCCTTTACTTGTCCACCTATCACCCCTCATTTTTCATCTTCCTATACAAATGATAATGAGAGCTTCTTGGTCCTGGGGCCTACTTTGCACAAAATTCCGTGCCAACCATCACAAAAAAAAAAAAAAAAAAAAAAGGGTGTTCCTCCCCTTTCCACACTTTGACTTCCCTTAGTCTCTGGCGCTGGGCCTCTCAGTGACCCCTGACACGCTTGGCACACACTCAGGGCCTCTGCCCCAGCCGTGCCCCAGCCTGAGATTTCCACCCCTCACTCTCAGGGGCCCCTCTTCCCCAAGGTCCTGCTGCATACAATGTACCTATCACGGCAGCACCTACCAGCCCCCCCCCACACACTGCTGTCCACAGCACGGAGCATCAACTGGCAGATGACCTGTTTCTTTCTCCTGCTCACTGAGAGGTCCCAGAGTGGGAACAGCCCCCTGCTCACAGGTGAATCCCCTCAGCCTAGAACAGGCTTAGGGGGCACTCACCCTGCTGGACAGATACGGAAAACAAGGCCCAGCCAGCTACCCAGCTGGTGTGGAGCCCTGAGCCCACCCATGTGTCTAACACAGCAGCCAAGAGCCAAGCTCATTTACTCCCAGCCAGCCCAGTTCAGCTGACACCATCACCATTTTAAATTCTTTCCAAGAAGGCAGAGTTCTAAGAGACTTAAGCACCGGCGGAGAGGCCCTCCAAAAGAAAGACAAGGCTCTGGAGAGCATGGCTGTGAGCTGCTCTAGGAGTCGCAGGGAGTAAGACATACCCAGGCGAGGCCATGGGCCTCTCAAGGCAGCCTGTATTGTCCACACTTTACAGAGGAGAAAAACAAGACCCAAAAAGCTGAGGCTCAAAGTCACACAGGCAGTACAAGACAGCGCTCACTTCAAGAGCTTTCTGGCCAGGCACATGCCGCCTGCCTTTCATCCCAGTATTTGGGAGGCAGAGGCAGGAGGATCTCTGTGTTCCAGGCCAGCCTGGTCTACACAGCAAGTTCCAGGACAGTAGAAGGACTACATAGAAGTTGCCAGGACTACCTGTCTCAAAAAACAAGCCCCCCCCCCCCCCCCCCCCAGAAAAAAAGAAAAGCAACAACAAGGCTGGGAAAATGGCTCAGCCATGAAGAGTGTTTGCTTGCTGTTCCAGAGGACCGGAGTTCACGTCTCAGCACCTACAATCACCGGTAGCATCCACTGCAGGGAATCCAATGCCCAATTCTGGTCTCTACACTCATGTACACACACACATAAAAAGCTTTAAATAAAATCTTTAAGATGACAACAAGGTAGCTGGTGCCTGCGGAATGAAATCCAAGGTTGGCCTCTAGCATCCACACAAACATACACAACCTTCTCCTTCCCCACAGCAAACAAACAAAACTGGTGGAGTGCTGACCCAAGCATATACAAGTCCAGGGTTCAAGTCCCCCGTGAGGCATATCTGCAACCATTCCACCTAACTTCAAGGGCCGGGAAGAGTGGGCACCGCTGGAGAGCAGGTGGACAGGGCTGGGGAGGACAGTGACGCTGTACTGAGCTGGCCGTGGAGACTAAGTGGGGACCCCACCTTCCC